GGTGTCTTGAGGGGGGGCTCCCCCCCCGCGTCGGGATGTCCCGCCGAGGTTAGAAGAACACTGCCATAGAAATTTCTGAAATCAAACTAGTTGGGGTTGGGCCTTATGCTCCCGAAGAAACCACAATTAACCTACATTTTCTTGTGATGTTATTGTAACCTGGTTTGATCATTGTGAGCCGCCCCGAGTCGCTGAGAATCGGGCGGCATACAAGTTTAATTTTTTATTATTATTCAATTAAGTTCACACCACAAGCCAGGCCAGAATTAACCTATTTTGCACGCTGGCCTCCTGCACAAGGGAAAAAACCCTGCAATTGTTGAAACGCGGAAGGGGCAAAACTCAAGTGGGTTTTTTTTCTCTCTTTGCTTCCAACCTCAGGATAGGAAATCTCATTTTTCAACGTCGCCGATCATTCCAGCCGGCTGGAAAACTCTAAATTTGGGTGGGGTTATCCTGCTCATACTCCTGGCACACTCAGCACGATAAGAGTGCAGAGCAAAAGTGGAAACAGTTGGGAATATCTTAATGATGCAGTTGCTACAGGTTGGATCTGCCCTCGATTGGCTTTAAAAACCCCATTCAGGGAAATCAAATTAATTCAAGCTTCCCGGATTTCAAAGGGGAATTTTGATCAAACCCCTTTTGAAACTCCTTCGCCTTAAGGCACGCTTCTCAGAAAAACGCGCGGGTTGAAACCGAATTCTCTTTTCAATCCTCAAATATCATCATCCGGAAAGATTAGCCGGTACAAACAGGGCATCAAAAAAGTTTGCCAATGAAAGTCAATGCTAATTTTTTTTTTTTTTTTGGAGGGGTCTTTGAAGTGGCAGGGCGGGGCAGGAACGATCGGACCCGGTCGTGCAAAACCGAAACCGCTTCGTTCGTTTGGTCCTTTTTAATTCTTCTAAAATTTAAATTTGTTTTATGTTTTCGATCGTGCCTATTCTAACCCAGCACTCAGTCCAAGAGCCCTAAAATGTCATTTTCTCAATAAATGGCCCACGGAGTTCAGAGTCACCGATGCAAGTTTTCTCGTCTTCATCCAGGCTGTATCCGAAATTGCAGCCACAGACCGGACCAGAGGTGGTGTGATGGCACAGATGGGAACAGCCCCCGTTGTTAGTTTCACAGCTATTCACAATTTCCATTTCTATTCCTGCAAGAAAATTAAGGGGAGGGGGCGGGAGATGCAACAAATAAAACTTGCCATTATCCCAAAATCGCTTCTTGTTCCCTCCCGATTCCAAATTTTGCAGATTCCAAAGCGACATCTTTCTCTCCCTTCCAGATTTGCAATTGGCTCATTTATCTCATTCCTCTAAACGGGGAGATTCCACTTATATTCTGCTTTATGCTTTGCGAAATCATTGATGCAGGATGTATTTCCTCCACAAAACGGGTTCACAGCACAGAATAAAAGGACTCGAGTTAAAATCGGGAATCCGACACACTTCGCTGTCATTTAGGGCAGCGCTTCACAAACGTTTTATTTATTATTAAATTGGTATTCTGCCCATCTCCCCCAATGGGACGCCGGACCCCTTAAAAATGATTGAGGACCCCATAGAACGTGGGTTTATGTGGGCTAATATCGATCAATACTTACCGTATGAGAAATGAAAGCGGAGAAATGGTAAAATATTTATTTCTTTGACTTCACGGACTCCCCTGAAGGGTCTCGGGGACCCCCAGACCACATTTTGAGAACGGTAGATTTAGGGAACAGCCATGATAAAAATCCCAAAATTCGCGCTAAAACCACAAACCGCTTTGAGAGGTCAGACAGCCCAGCGCATGGAAAAGGCTCAAACTAGCCATATTTCTGCAACTCTTCGAACATCACCGAGAACCTGTTTTCTCTCGATTGCAAAAAATGAAAGAGAAATCCAGAGTTTGCAATCTAGGCGTTCCATTGCACGCCGCATGGTTCCTGATCATTCCCAGCGCTCTGCACAACCCCTTTTTTAAAACGTCGCCGTGAAAAAGGGGAAGGCGCAAACTCACGGTAACACTGCTTGCCCTCCGTCCCGAGCTCGTAGCCGAAGTTGCACGCACATTGATAGGAACCACGAGTATTCAGACACACGTGTGTGCACGCCGCCACGCCTGTCGCGCATTCGTCTATGTCTGGGTTAAGGGAGCAACACAAGATAATCACAGTTTGGCTTCTGGTGTTGGTAAATATTGTAATTAACCGGTGCACAAAAAGGGGGACGTTAGAAACCTAATTTTCCCCCCTTTTTTCCTTTTCTTTTAATCTATTGGTATTCTAATCATTGTCACACTTGCGTTATCTTCTCTTTTCCTCTGCAATACGGACAAACAACATGAAGTTCCAATAGTGGTGATCTTCATGCTAGTCATCAACTTAAGACCGAAACATTGATCGTATAACAAACACTGATACAACCTGTGGTGGATCTTTCTTATGTTCTGGATAAAGAAGCCCAGTGCTTTCATGCTTCTTAACACTGACATTTTAAACTACGGTTAAGATTGATAATATTACTTTCTTTTATTGAATCGTCAGTGGCTTAAACCAGTGTTTTTCAACCTTGGCCACTTTAAGACATGTGGACTTCAACTCCCAGAATTCCCCAGCCAGCTTTAAGATGTGTGGACTTCAGCTCCCAGAATCCCCCAGCAAGCATGCTTTAAGTTGTGTGTTCAACTCCCAGAATCTCCCAGCCAGCATGCTTTAAGACATGTGGACTTCAACTCCCAGAATCCCCCAGCCAGCATGCTTTAATACATGGGGTCTTCAACTCCCAGAATCCCCCAGCCAGCATGCTTTAAGACATGTGGACTTCAACTCCCAGAATCCCCCAGCCAGCATGCTTTAAGACATGTGGACTTCAACTCCCAGAATCCCCCAGCCAGCTTTAAGATGTACTGCAGCTCGCCACGCAAACCACCACCGGCCGGATCTGGGTGCTCACGACATGGTGGTTTAAGAAGAGAAGCTGGCTTGGTGAAAACCCAGCAAGGTGAACCCAGCATTCGGGCCGGGGGGAGAAATGTGGTTCCTGCCTACCTTTGCAGGTTTTGCGGTCTGGCCCCAGGCGGTAGCCAGGGTGGCATTCGCAACGCGCCACCCCGTGATGATTCTGGCATTTGTGCATGCACGCTCCGTTCTGAGTGGCGCACGGGTTTCTCACTGGCAAGGCAGGAGAGGCGTGTGTTAGCCGTGGGCACGCGACACACGTAAAAGAGCTCCCTATGTTGGGTTAAACCATGGCTGGTTTAATTCTGGTTTCCTGAAAGTCCCTAACTGGGTGGGTTTGCAATGTAACACCCACCCAGATCAAGCAAGCCAGGCTTGGTGGCTTAACAGGCAGGAGCCAGGCGATAGGCAGACGCCCCAACTGTGCTAAGCCACGGTTTGTGGAACTGCAGATTGTGGAACTGCACTGGCTGTGCTGGGTGTGTGTGTGTGTGTGTGTGTGTAGTGTTGTGGGGTAGTGTTCCTCAAGTCAGCTGAGAAACTCGGGGGAGAAATCTTTACGTAGTTCCTTCCAGACACGGTCAAGAAATTGGGCATTTCTTCCTCCTGTCCAGTTTTTAATTGTGCCTTTCCAACCAGGCGCCCCCCAGATCAGTTGGCACTACAACTCCCAAAGTTCTCAGCCAGCATTCAGGGATGCCTGCGGGGTGCGGCTAAAAAGTCAAGATGGCGACGGCTGTGGTGTGATCAGAGCTCTACCTGCCTTACATGAAAAACAGGCAGAGCTTTGATTGCACCACCGACTTTTTTGACCATACCTTGTTAGCACATACAGGCACACATTTACCCAGTTTATGCTCTTTTGTGTGAAACCAGAATGGTTGCTGAGTCAAGAGAAAGAGACAGTCCCTTATTTTAGATTTATAATCTGAACAGACATGGCACAAGAGGAAAAAGGAGTGGGGCAGGAAGAGGAAAACAGGCGTACTCCAAGCGACATTCTGAATGAATAAGACCAGGGGAAAAAGTGATGTGAGGGGAGGGGAGGGGAGCAAGGCTAGAGACTATAGCAAAAGGGAACCAAGAATGAGCAAGAAAGAAACATCTGTTTAGAAAAAAGTTTGTTTTAAATGTTTCATTTAAGCATCTAGTCCTCTGCATACCTGGCAGAGGAATTACTATAAATCTAAAAGCATGACTGATTTGATTTGTTACGCTGACACGCTGAAACTAGGAAACGACTGCAAAAAAAGAAGGATTGTATTGTATTGGCAGGATGGCCGACTGAATAATCTTCCCGCAAATTAATCAGAAAGAGGATATAAAGGAAAGTCGAGAAAACGTGCGCGTGAGAGAACAATTGCAGCAAAAAATGAAAATCAGCGAAAGAAATTGTACCGTTTGTACAGAGGGAAAAAGAGGGTAGCCAAGACCGTAATTAGAGAGAGCAAGAAGTGGTTAAACTTAAGACAGGCAAACGATCACGTTCCCTGTGCACATTAAGCGGTGGTATTTTTATTTTAATTTATTGCATCGTTCTTTTACTTGCTATCTGTAATTAGATTGTGGCTTCTATTGTATTAGCTGCCAATGTTTGCTTTGCAAAATGAGCAGCCATGTACATCTAACCAATTATTATTATTATTACTATTATTATTATTATTTTAGGTTTGTGGTGCACTTCCAGGGTTTGGAGGACTCACCCACGCAATGTTTCCCGTCCTCTTTCAGCTGGTAAGTCGGCCGACATTGGCACCGGTGCTGCGAGACGCTGAGCTGCACGCAATTGTGTTCACACCCCCCGTTGTTGATGGCACAGGGGTTTCCAGCTAGGGAGGGGGGGGGAAAAAAGGGGAGGATCAACAGGTGGAAGTCCATCAGGTGGAGCCACAAACTAGCCAGGTGGAAGTCCATCAGGTGGAGCCACGCATGAGCCAGGTGCTTCTGTTTGTCCTAAGTGGGAGATGCAGGTCCAGGGGAAATAAAACCCATTTCTGCAGACACCGTAAGGCGGTGATGGAACTTGAAGGGGATCTTAACGGGGGTGATTATTAATTATTTTATTAATCCTGCTAATTGACCCAGGATAGCGTTTGCAGCGCAAGGCTGCAGTGCCTCCAAGTTGCTCGAAAGAACCGAGTTATAAACAGAAAATAAAATGGACTGAACAGATTTAGGAGCCCAAACTGGATCAGAAGCAACGTGCAAGTTTGATCCGGGCATAATATAAGCACCCAAAACTGCATTTCTAGCCCCAAAACTTTTCCACGGCAAATTCTGAGACACAACCGGAGAGATTTTTGCGTAACCCCCCCGTGTGAGCTTCCTTGAGCTTTAACAGACTAAAAACCACGATTAAACTCCCGGCTAAGAACGAACCTCAAAAACCACGCTCAAAAAATAAATAAAATTATAGACTCCCGTACATTCAATCCTTGCTAGTAAAATTCTGCTTTGCCTGGATCTCCTGCCAAATTAAAATGTAACTTCTGTACGGAGAGAACCCCAACGTTGAGATAGGGGTCAAATCCATGTATTAAGTTGCAGCGAGGAAGGGTTTCTGGTGTAAATTGAATTGTGTGATTTTTTTTTAAGATGGACAATTATTTGAAACATGGAAACGCGTTCCCACAACTTGGTTCCTTGGGGGGATCCAACAAGCTTTCCAATCAAAAACTTTTGTAACCATTTAGCACGCACAGGGCCAAACCAGGGTTAAAACAGTGTTTCTCAACCTTGATAACTCTCAGATAGGTGGACTTCGACTCCCAGAATTCCCATGCTGGCTGGGGAATTCTGGGAGTTGAAGTCCACCTATCTTAAAGACGCCAAGGTTGACAAAGACTGAGTTAAAAAGTGCAAAAGGGTTTTGGAAATGAGCCGGAAAAGAGGGCAGCCAAGGCACCAGTGCGCACTCATTTGCACACCCGTTCAGCCAGAGGGGGAAAAAATTGCTCCCCAAGCATGTGCCCGAAAGATACTGTTTCACCACACAGCATTGGGGAAATCTTGGCATTTTTCAGGCTGGAAAGGCATTTTTCTCAAGCTTTAAGACAATCACGATGGTCGACGGGGCAGGAATTTTTAAAAGGAGAGAGCACGTACACGAACGCCAAGCCACGCCAAGAACATCAGAGGAGCCTAAATGCTCATCCGTGGATCAGAAAACTTGCAAAGATGTTTCAGGGCTTTCGGTCTTAAATTTAGACCGTACGTTTTCTCTCGGCGCCTCCTGAAATTCTACAATTGCTGGGCAGAGCATCTCTTCCCCCCTCCTCAAACGCTCACCCCATTTGAACCTCGCCATTTTTTCCAAACTGCGCTGGCCAAAAACGCGTGCATTTTGTTTGCATTGACCCCGCCGAAAAAATTCCAGCCTGGGACACCTAATAAGGACCAGAAGTCGTCTGGCAGGCGATAAAACCAAAATATGTTCCGAGAGTGGAAGCTGGAAAACTCTCCAGCGTGTGAGACGGGAGAAGGCCGTTTTTAACGCACCGTTCAGGGCCCCAAAAAGCGATGCTGAGAAATGGGGGGGGGGCCCGGAAGGGCAGGAAAGTGTGTTCATTTTGGAGCTGACGTTTTAAAATAGCAAAGTTTTTTCGATTCTGCATTGCTGATCTACACGGGCATCGAATGCATTGATTTGCAGACGTAGCTCTTAGCAAAAATTCATATAAAATGAGCCGTTCAATTCATTTGCAGCTCTCTCAACGTCTGCGTTCGGATCTTCCGGGTGGCCCTTGCAAACCACGCAACTTATTCTGTGACCGTTTCTCTACGTTGGCCAGTGGGAAATATATATTTTTTTCTTCTCTGCTGGATTGATTCAGTAGCTCAGGCTTCCTGATAAAACGTGCAGTGCAATAAAGAACGAACGGATCAGATCTTCCACCTGTGAATGATCGCAAAAGCAAAAATGGTGTGCCATTGGTAACTCTTTATATTTCCATCCAACTGGGCCAGTGCTTCTCAACCTTGGCCCCTTGAAGATGTGTGGACTTCAACTCCCAGAGTTCCCCAGCCA